CCCGACTAGTATCATCTATGACGCCGTGAGAACTCGCCCCTCATTGGGTGCGTACTAGGACTAGGCCGGTATCGGGGCACTTATTGTGCCATNCTTTTTATGCTAGTTTTATCGTCTTCAGCGACTATCATTAATATCATTTAATATCATTCACGACACTCATCCGACTCCAAATCTCGAATTCTCATTTAATGATGTATCCGTAGATGAAAGGAGCTACACTCATGAAGACATTTGATAATGGTATTATTATGATATGACAGAATTTGTGAGTACCATTCAAGGCTTTCGATGAATACCATTTAAACCTACTACAGGTCATTATTTTCTGAATGAACAGCGACAGATCGAGCATTATAATAAAAGGCATAGGCATCGGCACGTTTTGAACATCGTTTGCATGCCCTTTTGCTCCTCTATCAAATTTCGTGTTCCGAAAAGTATCATTTGTTCCGAAGAAAGAGGGGAGTCCCGCGTCAGCCCGACTAGTATCATCTATGACGCCGTGAGAACTCGCCTAGGACTAGGCCGGTATCGGGGCACTTATTGTGCCATATTTAGGTCGTTTTTCGTACCGACAACTCAACGTCCCTTGTGCTATTCTTAATGTCACATTTCCATCCTAGGAAGAAATCTCGGACATTTGATTTCATCTTGAACCGTGAACTGTGCTTTCAACTTCTAATTTTTGAATGTTGTACATCAGGTAAGCAGGTTTTGAAGTCTTCATTGGGCCCTATTCAGCCCCCCACCCCCGACAGCGTCCTTTGTGCTATACTTGGGGGCAACAGGTTGATTCTAGGGGAGAATCCTAGAAACCACTTTCATCGAAAGCAAGACTGGTTAGCGCCTCATTCTTCATTTTATTTTCAAACTTGTCTTTTATTAGCGAAGCATGAGGAAAGAGCTCATTGCTTTGGTGAAACCGCTTCGCCCAATATCTTCTCTCATTGTGAGCAAGGAAGTTTCTGCGGTACCAGCCTCCAATCAGAATTGTAATTGCTTTCCAAAGAGCAACCGGATGCAAAGCAGGTTAGTTCCTCAGGACTGCGGTGGATGCTTTAAAAATTCAACTCAGAATTAGGAAAAAATAGTGATTTAGTCACGTCCGCTACATTAAAAAGCATCACAGTTCGACTGATCAATAGCCCTGCAGGAAGAAAAAGCTACAGATCCCCCCTATTCATGCTTCTTGTAATTTTGAAAATTTTTTGTTTAGGCATGACA